ATAGCTAATGACCGAAGCCTGTGGTTATGTATCTTGCACTTGTTGGTTCACTTGTTGTTTTCAGAATTTATCCATGATTGTGTAAATATAGTTTTTCACAGAAATCTGTAAAATCAGCTTGAATGAAATTAAGACACTGTTATTTAAAAATATCCTATTTTAGTATTATTATTATTTATTATTTCCAATGAATAATAAAATGTTCAACCAGTGCATAAAAATCTCGAACTTAAACATCATGAGTCAATATTTTAGCAATGTCTTTAAACAAGAGATAAGTAGTATAAGACTAATATTTATAATATTTCAGAAGTCAACACAGATAAGTGTAGATATGAAAAAAAATGCATAATTTTCGACTTCATACCAAAAAGACGTATTAAAATGTTTTTGTTATTTTTTTTACGATTACATCATTATATTTTCAAATCTGGTAACTTTTATATAAAAATTCTTTCTATAAAATATCATGTTTAGTACATTATTAGTTTATTACTGAGTTCCACATGTTTGTAGTAATAAGTGAAATATTATTTCTTTTAAGCCTTACAGCGCCCTCGTGAAGTGAAAGTCAAATTCATTCAAGTACCAATAGCTTATAGAAAAATCACTTTCAGTAGACGATGATAGCGAGATTTGAAAATTCAAAGAGGCAAGTTTTCAAATAGTGAGAAATTGAGATAATTAAGAATAAAAATAAAATATAGCTTCACAAGTTGTTTTCGTTGTTGATCCAGTCGTAATTAAAAGCTAACGGAAAGTTAATTATTTTGAGTACAGAATCACTCTGTTGTTAGGTCTAATACCCATAAGAACCAAGGTGTAAAATAAAACTTGAATCGTGCACAAATAAAGAAATCAGTTTTCTAAAAATTTATTAAAAAGGTAGAAATAATGATACAAAATTTTTTGTTTACTTGTAAGAGAAACTCAAGCCATAATCTGTGTTGTTTGATTCTTTGTTTAGCGGTACGCTAAAACCTATAATGATAAATATTGGAGTAAGAATTGAAATATTATTGATCCAGCATATGTTATCTATGCATAAACAGACTCAACATTAATTAAGTGACTTATCGTTCATCATCACTACCTATTACGAAAAAACACCCTGTTATTGCGAACTATCACTAAATGAACGATTTTGACACAATCCCTATCCGTGTGTTGCTATTGTCACCGCGATTTATTGAATACGCATTGTTGTTACCAGTAATCTCTTACGTATACACCACTGTCACAGTCTTTCACTAAATACATGCTATTGTTGACGTTACACAATAGAGGACTTTCAAGCAAAATTATGGTTTGTCACGAGGAATTGATTTTCCGCTGCGTCACTTAACTGGATCATTTGTTGCTCTATTAGTTCGACAGTATTCTTTGTAGCTTACGACTCATTATTTATGGACTTTTTCATTGTACTGTATATATAAGAGCTATCAATAATACATTAAATTAATAGGTTTGCTTACTGAGTATTTATTTTTCATTACAAGTTACAGCTTTTACAGTAAGTAAGATTTGTTTTTAGAACAAGTATGACGTTTCGATAACTGATGCGATCATTCTTGAATACACAAGTTGTACTTGAGAATGATCGCACCAGTGATCGAAACGTCGCTCCTGTTCTAAAAACAGATCTTACTTACTGTAAAAGCTGTAGTTTGTAACAAAAAACACATTAATTTGTTAATTCTTGTCTACATTATTTTGTACGCAACACTTCCACCGACTTTATCCTGCCCTGCAATCCCTATATGTTTAAGTTCTCTCTATAGCCCTGTATTTTGGCTTACGTTGGCTAATATTCCCTATAAACCTCTATAATTAACAGTTTTCCACTCTACTCTCACCAAACATTTTTAATGATAAATTACTAATATATCAAGTACTTATTCATATGACAAGGTTTCTTACGATACTAAATTTCACAGTTTCAGCCGACTATATGTAATTATTACTTTTCGGTACAAAATGTTTTTTTTTCTTCTCAAGACTGGTTACCTTTGTTAGAACATTAAGTGGTTTTAAGCTTACATTTCAGAGTTACGGGCATGAAGTCAGAACATTCTGGCATAGTTGGCTTGTCATGAGATAACAGTTCAGTTAAGGTCTAAGTGCGGTTACTTCCAGCTTAGGTAAGTTCTTTATAAAAGGGTAAACCCGTGTTGTCCCGGTGGGGGTGAGGGGAGGTATGAGTAGATGTGTGTGAAAGTGATTTTTCAAGTTCGATTCAATTTTGAATATGAAACCGATTAAATTAATGGCTTCAATTTGAAATTTAATACGATTTGGATATGAAACTACCTGTATTTGAACACAGATCAAAAAGTTGGCTAAACTAGCGATGCTTTAAAGTAAATCTGTACAATGTCACAAAATGATAAAGGTCTTGAATAATAACGTACAACAACATTGAATATCCTTTTGACAAATCTCAAACATCCCTGGAAAGTAATGTAAAAACAACAAAGAGAAATGCTGCAACCAGCAAGTTCCATTGCCAAAAAAGTTTAGAATGGGAGCAATAAAGGTATCGTGTATCATGTTAGATGGTCTAAGACCGCCCCTGCTAAAGAAATTGTTGGATGACTCATAGAAAACAATTTCAGAATACATAATATTGTGCGGTAAAACCACCTCTGATCAAGATGTGAAACAATTAGACGGGCTTAAACACAAAACCAGTTTACAAAGAGCTACCCTGTAGACTTCCACTTCGGTAATGCCAAAGGAAAGCAAATATAAGAAAAAAATCATGCATTTCTTGAAAGTAGAAATAGCCATTCCTCTCAGCCTTTTTATAAATGTATCATATGATGGCTCAAATGTCAACAAAAACATTTGTAATGAAACCAGTGATATCCTGAAGGAAGATGATTGTAAAGGTTTTCTTCCTTTCATTGCCTTAAACCTCATGTCGTACATAAGACATTCATATCTGGCCTAGGTTTAGATTTAAATAGTAAATATTGTGTAGAACTTTCTTACAGTCTCCACGGGTGTTTTATAAAGATGTTTTGCAAAAGAGCCGATTTTTAACAAATTAAACTAAAACTTGACTTGAACCCAAACCTTATCCGAGACATGTAAATAGAAGATGGCTGATCTTAGTACAAAACCAGAGTACATTACTAGTAACTGGGATGCCGAAAAGAAATATTACCTAACATCGCTTTTAATAGGCCAGGAAGGACAGAACAGAGCAAAATGAAAGGTATTAGAAAATGTGCTTGAGTGCCAAAGATGAGACCATGTTGGTTGATCTGAAATTTGTTGTGCAAATTGGTAGTATGCTATGAAAGTTCCTAAATTCTTTCAAAGTGATTATTCTCTTATTTATATCCTATATGATGAGCTCATAAAGTGTTTGGGTGAAGCATAATGAAGAGGTTCCTGAAAGAAGATGTTCTCAGTAAAGAAAAAAAGAAGAAGACAAGCACTAAAACTGTGGGCTACAGTTAGATGGAGGATCAACTGTCTTTCAGTGACATGGAAAGAGGACAGCCAACAAGAGTGTCACTGTCAAGGCTGAAACCTGGTCAGCTTAAAATACCTGTGCAAGGTATGAAACAATTATTCATACCTATTGCAAAGCACTTGTTCTCACATGTACTTCTACACAAATGAAATATTCAAAGATTTGGTATATCTGCATTCATTTCTTCAAAAGAAGAAAACAGGTTTGAGAGGTGTTAGATTCCTGGCAGGAAAATTTAAACGTGTAGTGTCAAAAAATGAGGTAAACTCATTACAAATGAGTAGAAACTGTATCAGATGGAGAATATTCATAAAAACTGGTTCTTTCACACTGATGAAGAGACACAGGAGAAAGTACATGATCATGGTAACCATTTTATTGGAGAAGAATCTTTGCAATCCCTTCAACTTCTCCATGCTACTTAGGGCCCATATATAAGATTTTACCGAAATTCATCAAGTCTTGCCCAAGTCTGTCACAAGGAAATGCTGATGTTATGAAATCACTGTCACAAAATAAGTACGCAGTTTCTAAATGCATACTTTTCTATCAACACTCTCCCAGCACTCTTAGTAAACTACGCCAATGAGAATAGAAATAAGAGTTGCATAACCGAGGAGGGTATCCAAACATTATTAGTTATAAGAATTATAAAAAGTTCTGTATATAGGTACGTTTTTTCATCTACCTATATAAAAGCCAGTGTGTGTTACGTCACGAAGCACTTGATTTTTCGAAATAACAGGAGTCATAAAAGCCATAATGCATCTATCTAGATAGAATAGTTCGATTACTGTCTACCCATTACGATTTTAATTACGGGGGTGCAAGGGAGCCAGAAGGAGGGGGGTCGTGAAACACTATAAGTGTAGTTGGGGTTGATATAATAAGCCTAAAGAATAGACATAGTGTAGGATCACCTAGGCTAGAGCCAATTGCATATAATGTATCATGAAATAAAAATATTGATCCAACTTTAAACTTAAATCGTTTATGAATTAAGCTATTTTTCTGTTATATCACCAACGATTTTAATTAAAAAAAATAAACCTCTATGTCCCTATCTATTATCTAGTGAAACCACAGCCAAGGGAACGGGCTTGGAAAAATCAGCGTGGAAAGAATACATTAAAGATTAAATTTATGTTGTTATTCATTACAGTATATAAATGTTACCAACAATATACTGAATATACAGGGTTTGATTTCAAGTAAATCGCATTTCTAGATCTTTTATGGATTCTTCATTTTATTCACTGAGAAAATGAGAAAATATTCAGAATGAATATATTAAGCCATGTGCGTATATTCATTGCAGTATTTTTTTATAAAGGCTATCAACAAATGATATATTAAATCATTCATATTCATACATTACATTATGAAATCTTCCAACAATGCGTTAATTTATTTATTATTTATTAAGTCTTCCAAGAATACAAAGTGTCATTTACACACTTATTCATTACATTATAAAGGATTCCAACAATGCGATATCAGGTCTTATAACAACACATTAAATAATTTACTTATTTATTAAGTCTTCCAAGAATACAAAGTGTCATTTACACACTTATTCATTACATTATAAGGGATTCCAACAATGCGATATCAGGTCTTATAACAACTCATTAAATAATTTACTTATTTATTAAGACTTCCAAAAGTAAATTAATGCATTTAATTATCTATTGAAAGTTTACAATTTATAGTGGTTCATTTACGTATTATTTCGTTATATTATCTAATATTTTCACAGTATAATTCGCCATTTACTTATTTAGTACAACTACTAAGGCTTACAACAATATGTTGTCTTTTAATTATTTATTCGTCTTATTATCACATCTTTCAACAGTAAAATTTATCATTTATTTATTTAGTCATTACACTTAGATCCTCTAAAATGCACTTAGCCATTTTTTAATTAAACCTCCAATAATACAAGATTAATTACATATTTAGCCATTACACCGAGTTTATCAACACAAATATTCAGTTGAAAGTTACAATGAATATTAACATTGACTCAACATAGGCGTAGGAACCAAGGAGCTGGGAGGGGGTGGGTGGATGGTTTGGTAAATCCCTCCGATTTTAAAAGGATTTTTTTTTCGTGTATAGAAAGCAAGAAAAAAAAGTACAGTAAAGGCCTCAAAGGTAATCATTTGACACTCGAACGTGCTGGAGCTCTATGCATAATCTAACATTTAAGTTGGGCTAATTCTGAACATACTAAATTCAGCTGAGGTCATGTGTTAGTTCAGCCCTAAATATAAACCATCTACTGTTTCAATAAATAATTGTATTGTATCTTTCTTTGTCTTTCATACGTAAGACTGCTCTACAACTGTCATATGGAGCATACATACTTCTATGTTCTTGTGATACATATTTCTGATTGGCCAGATACATGTTGAAGGTAACTTTTAAATGCAGTTTTGGTATTTTCAATCAGATTTATTTCTGTTTTGGAAGATTAAAGACCTGGTATGGAGTCTTGTAGTTCTCTTTCACAAGTGTTTAACTTGTATATCGTGAGTGTTTTATCTTGAATTCAAGTAAAGCTCATTTTTGTTTAATTAATTGCATTTTGCTCTCTTTGCATTTTTATTTAAATACATTATATTTTTTGTTAGCCTAATAATACGATATCTATTTCCACTTGTTGATCAGCCTGTATTTGAATTTACCTTCTACTTGCACCAGCAAATAATGTGATTATTTTCATATCAACTTAACACCCTGTCCTGTATCTTTCATTCCACCGAGTAATAAATCAATATACCTGTCCTGTTCCATAATAGGTCTGTGAATCTTCAGTTATTGCGAATACCAGATGTTTGTGTACTATATAGGTTATTCAGTGGAATACCACAAAAACATTTTATGGTCTGATATAATAGTAATGTATAATTTTACAAAAACAAAGAATAAAAAATACTACATGCTGTCATACACTTTGCAACCCAATGGAAAAATAGTCCTTATAACATAATTATAGAAATTATACAAAAGTTAATTTCTACTGGGCCAGCTTACTCATTGGTTTACTCAATGCTGATATGAGCTTTAAAACTTACAACATAAGGAGTAATCTATATGAAAAAAATCTGTTCCATTGCCCCATTTAATTTGTCCTATCAGAATGTAGGAAGTAGAAGGAAGATCACTTTTAGATTTTCAATTTCTTTAAAAGATAAGCCCACCCCTTTGGAGGATGTCTTTGTCACACACACAAAAAGACTCGCACATTAGATGTTTGGCCCTTTAGCTCATCCAGGTCAAGATGTGTTCCTACGCCAATATCAGGTTGCTGGGAAACGATTTTATTGTTAATCCTTTACACAGGAATGTTTGTTGTTTGAGTGCCAAGCAGTTTACTTCTACGTTGAATCAATTAATCTGTTAAAAGTGAATTATGTGTGTGCATTTACTAACCCATAGACAACAGAAGGTCTTCTTGTAAGATATCAAGTTGTAGTTATTACACTGGGAGGTCTTCTACCCGGCTGCTGAGTGTTGGAACACTTTGTGTCCTCATGACATCAACATTGCTATCTCTTCGGACCATGGCAAAAGGAGACACTTTACTAGATGGTCCTCGAAGCCAGGCCAAACTAGCAACTCTCTCGAGTGCTGCACTTTTTACTCGTCTGTTAGGTAGAGTAACAGGTACATTAACAGCATCTGTTACTAGGTCTCTCATTACTTGAACAATCTCTCCGGGTGTCATCCCTGGTGATACATGTTCTCTGAACCTAATGATGACCTGATTACAATCTGTTGGTTTTACCTATTCATAAAAAGAAATGTCCATATTCTATGAGTAGAAACAATAGCAACACAACAATGTCACCCTTTAATATTTACTGCATGTGTTTTTGAGACAATTGTGTTTCGGTTTCTTTAGCGAGATAAAATGAAGGAAATCAGTTTCATAAGTATGTGGTATGAAAGAATATTATGTATTTCCTATTGCCTTATTTAGTATGGAATTTTTACACACTTCTGTATATATTTAGCATTTATTCTTAATATAGAATGTTGGTTAAGGGTTGTTGTTTGTAATTGAGCACAAAGCTAAACAAAGTCTATCTATGCCCATCACGGGTATCGAAACCCGGTTTCTAGTGGTATAAGTTCGCAGACATATCGCTGTATAACTGGAGGGCGCTGGTTAAGGAACCCACTAAGTTCATCTCACTCTACTCTCACAGAAGTGAGCTATTAAACTAGAACGTTACATACACTTTCTCATAAGGAAGACTCCTGTAATGTATGTAACGAATTTGTTATTATATATTTGTTTTAATATGAACGTTTGTTCAGATTAAGTTTATGTTTAAAAACATGCCTACCTTATAATGTTAGATATGTATTGCGAAACTCCCGCCTATTCTCCAAAGTTGTAGAAGATTCTCGAGAGTAAAAATCAACAATATATGTATATATGTAAAAGCTTAAATGTAGTTCAGTATTGTTACGTAAAACTAGAACGCCTCCATACGGCTATAAATATAACAACGCGACGCGCTAAAGGGGAGTATCCATTATTAGTTCGCTATAGTTAGTGTGCTATAAACTTCGGAAGCTATAACTGTGATTGTTTTAACGCATATCAATCGGAAAACTTCAGATATTTGACCAGGAATATTTATACATTTCGAACATTACAAATTATTTAACTTCAGTGGATTCACATTGGACATTAATACTTTTACGAAAACATTACCTAACGTCATCGGTGGAAACTCAATCTCTAA